GCTGAGTACAGGGCAATGGCCCATACCACTAGTGAGTTGACTTGGATACAACATTTTCTAAAAGAACTTGGGTTGACAGTTGAAATTCCTACTCCATTGCTCTGTGATAATCAAGCAGCTGTTCACATTGCATCAAATCCTGTGTTTCATGAGTGGACCAAACATATTGAAGTTGATTGTCACTTCATTCGAGAAAAAATATTAAGTGGGAGCATCTCTACTCCATTTGTGAAGTTTGAAGATCAATTAGCTGATATGTTTACCAAAGCATTGGGTCATAATCGGTTAAGGACTATCTGTTCCAAGCTGGGATTATTTGATATATACTCTCCAGCTTGAGAGCATTAGAATATTTTGGGTCATTATGTAATTAGCTGAGTCTTGTATTTTTATATAAGCCACTGTAGGCTTAGGGTTTTATACATATGAGATACACATTTCCTGTAGCCACCATGATCTCTCTCTCTCTCTCTCTCTCTCTCTCATTAGTTTGAACATTTATATTATTTTTTAGTTTAGTTAGATTTTCAAAACTTAGTGTCAAGTTAGTTACCTCTTGGTCATGGTCAGAGTTCGAATTAAGCTTCAACTAAGGGCAAAAGTATAACCTTCAACATCAAGGGTACAAAGGTAAATTGACACTATTATATGCACTTACCAAAATTAGGGTATATGCATTCACGCATTAGGGTTTTTAGATTTCATGATTTGATGTAAAGTATCGGAATTGATTTGCTTAAAAAGTGTTTTTGAAAACTATCCTGCTTGGAAAATTTCAAGTATAGCAATACATAGTCTTTGATCCATCGAGATATCAATCAAAAGCTTTATGAACTGTGTCGATGGATCTACATGTTCCTCGATCGATCCTGGTCGGTAAGCTAGTTTACTTTTCAGATCGAAACGCTAAAATCCTATGCTCTCTACAATTTTGGTTGTCTTAGATACCTTTTTTATCTCATAAATCATAAGATACACAGAATATATAGAATACATAGAAAATATACAAGCAAGAGGGTTTTAAGCAAAATTTAGTGCATTCATTTTTTTTAAGCATTCATCAATCGTCATACCTTAGATTGGTGAGTGTCATATTAATGTGTTAGCATCTTAATTGTTGTGGAGCTGTTTTGAAGAGTTCAACACCAACAAGAAATTAATCAACCAAGATTGGAGTGGACGACCAGTTTAGAGATGAAAATTGCAGTTGAAGAAGCAAGTTCACGAGGAGTGAAGTCTGTTGACAGAGTGGACTGTTTGCCTGGGACCCAAGTGGAGGGTTTTGTGGATTGTCAAGAGGTAGCTAGAGGTTTTGGGGTTATTGAACTGTTAACCTAGTGTAATATCTCTTTAGTGGATTCTGATCTGATTGGACTAGGTCCCTTCCATTTGGGTTTTCCACGTAAAAATGCTTGGGTGTCCTGTTGCATTCTTAATATTGGTTTAAAATTATTTTTGATTGAATGTTGTTAAGGCTTGCATGATAAGTGATTGATATTGATACTTACCTTTAATTTAAGTTCGAATTTTCGTTCGGTGTTAAAATTTTGAAAAGTTAACCATCTAGAAGACCTATTCACTCCTCCCCTCCAGGCCTAGATCACAAACCTTGCGTTAACTCTCTATCAGAGTCTAGGATTTGAGTCCTTACCCCATCAAAAAGCAACCATGTTTTTCTCACATGCTAACATAATCAAGTGCATAAAAGAGTAGCAATTTTCACGCATAATCCAGTAAACTGTTAACCTGGCACAAGTTTTTTCTCCTCTCTTTCCCTTCTATTCTTCGCCTTCAATGATCATATACTTGTATATCATACTATTGTTCTTATTTTCTTTTATTCCATTTGACCCAAGTCCACTACTCATATCTCAACGTGTTGTTTTTGGAGTGGCAGTTTTTTTTTAAATGTGCTCTACCAAGAGTTGCAAACTATTTCCCCCGTTCTCATCACAAATCTTCCTAACAACACCCCTCATAGGCAGAACATTGTTCTCACCATATTACTCCTACAAGAATCATGACAAGGGTTTAAAAGATGCACACAATCATGAACTAGGGGTCATGCAATGCATAACGTAAAGCGCAATGTAAAGGAAAGATCCCGAGGATCAAAAGAAAAGAAAAACAGAAGGGTTAGAAATAGAGTGTTGATGAAGATTTTCCGATTGTCTTCTTTTTTTATGCTTGCTCTTCTTCAATACCTTCTTTTTTAAAAGATCGATGTTTCTTCAATGCTTTGCTTTGATCTTCAAATGGCTGAAGGTTAAGGTGCGTTTGGCTAGGCTCCTCCTACAAGGGTAGAGAGAGAGAGGGGGTTTTATTTCTAGAGAGAGAAAGTAGGCTTAGAGTGGTGGGAGAGAGAGAGAATGGATCCTCAAAATGAGGGGGGAATGCCCCCATTTAATGAGAGCTAGCTGTGCGGTCAGCTCATTTGCAGGCCAAATTTTAGTCTGCAGCATCATAAGATGCTGTTGGCATGTCTTTTTCCTTTTTTTGTGTCTTTGACCCCTTTTTGCAGCGTCTTGTGGCACTAGATTTAGTATTTTAGGCCATTTTTGACTGAGTAGCATCTGAAAGGCTAGAAATGGTATTTTAGGCCAATTTAGACCATGTAGCATCTTGAAATGCTAGAATTGGAATTTCAGGCCAATTTTGACCATGTACTGCGATGTCACGCTAGAATCGGTATTTTTGGCCTTTTTTGAGTATGAAGCAATTCAAAATGCTAGAAATGGTATTTCAGACCATTTTCAACTTGTGTAGCATCATGAAACGCTTTAAATGGTATTTTACTTCTGTTGGAGAATAATTATAGGAGTGATTTAAGCCCTTGAATCAATCCTTGACAGAATGTTAACGTTGCTATACTTGGGCAACAAGTTGTTGCCATATTTGTATTTCACTTTCTTTGTAATTCCTTTATTGTGAAATATTTATAGAGCAAGAAATATCTATTCTCTAGCTACAAGTTTTCCCCAATTCACTTATAAATAGAGGTGGTTATTGTAAACAAAATAAAGAGACAATGAATGAAAGAGATGTAGTGTGTGTCGTGGATGTAAGCCCTAGTGGCTAAACCACGTTATATTCTTATGTTCTTCATGTTTTAATTTTTCTCTTCAACTTTTATTTTTTCTTTCATCATGGTATCAGAGCAGGTTTATCATACCTTACTCTATACTCTTCTCATCTCGGATCAACTCGTCTCGTCTTAGTTCTTTGGATCAACTGGTCTGGATCTCTGGATCAACTCATCACAGATTTACTCGTCTCAATATTTAATTTCAAGTTGGACACTTGAGTTTAATCTCCGTGTACTAACTTGAGGAGGGTGTTGGAGAATAATTATAGGAGTGATTTAAGCCCTTGAATCACTCCTTGACAGAATGTTAACGTTGCTATACTTGGACAAGAAGTTGTTGCCATATTTGTATTTGACTTTCTGTGTAATTCATTTATTATGAAATATTTATAGAACAAGAATTCTTCTCTTCCACTTTCTAGCTCTTAATTTTTTTTCCAACAAGTTCATTTCAGAGCAAGTAGCGCATTCAGATGCAGAAAAGACAAGATTGTTTTCCCCTTGTGCTGACTTAACTATGAACTTGCATTATATGCTGAGTTCATACTCTGTTCTAAGGTTTTTGGGCCTTTCGGTCGCACTGGTGATGTCAGATTGTCCTGTTTTCCCATTGGGGGATGTGAAATAACTCATTTGCCCTTGTATTGATCCAAGGGACTAGAGATGTGCTGTGTATCTGGGACTGAGCCTACACCAGGGTTTTTGGGTGCTTTGAAAGTGATGGTGCAGTTTGATTTCTGATTAGATGGTTGGATTTTCAGCTGTAGGTGTGAGTTTATCATTTTGCCCATAAACTTGAGGTCCTTGGGGGAATGCAATCCTTGCTTGTGATGTATTCTAGGGTTCTTGGACCTTTTGAACACAATGGTGAAGTACGTTCATCATTTTGAAGATCGGATTGTGACAGGGTACAAAATTACGATTTTGCCCTTACTGTGGGGTTTGATGATCGGGTGCCGAGAATTACTCGGAGAGCTTGGCTCTAATTGTATCCCAGGGTTTTGCGATATTTTAGACATCATGGTGAAGTTGGATTTTCGATCCAACGGTTGGATCTTTTTGGATGTGAGTTAGAGATTACAATCTCCAGCCGATTGACTCGGTAAATAAGGAGGGCGAAAATGGGGTGTCTACACTCATGATCATTCGCCATTAGTGGCCGCTCAAAGGAGCCAAAAAAGGAAGAAGACCGAAAAAAAAGAAGAAGAAGACCAAGGAAGACACACATAAAATTATATTCTTTGTAGCATATACTCAATGTATTATAAAAATACCAAAATTTACGATTTGAGTTATTTTTGTGCAATTTATAAAATTATTTATTAGGAAGACAAATTCATTTTTTTCTTGAATTTGAACTAAACAGGAGCATGATGAAAATAAATAAATTCACAAATATAATGACAGGTCTGGTGTAAATCTGCAGCAGTGATGGAAACTTGAAATTTTCATTTATATTGTAAATCAAGTCCAAAAATATAAAATTCTGCTGCTGGTATTGTCATACGTTATTATTCTCTTTTTCTTGCATTAATGACTAGTTCCATCAGATGTTCTTATTTTGTTTGATTCAACTTTGATGCTGTTGGGAAGTTAGTATGGTTTTAGATTTTTCAACATTTTCCTATTTTCTAGTTCTAATTGGCTTATACTGGTTGTAGGAGATCTTAATAATGTCAGTTTTGGACTCTCACTGCCTCTCTCTCTCTCTCTCTCTCTCTCTCTCTCTCTCTCTCTCCAATTTATTTATTTATTTCATATCCTTAAAGAGAGTTCTGCTGCCTTGGCTAGCTATTCTTTTATTCCAATTTTAGTGTCATCACTTAATAAAATATCAGCTAGTATCTCTAAATTTAGAGACCTTATTTTCTTTGCTGACTTCTTTTCATGTTTTATCTCTCTTTTATTGATGAAGCTTGAAGTTGTCCGTGAGCTATTACATGGAAATGCGGAGAGCGGGCATCGCTTGGAGGCTCTCATATATTCTGCTATCTATCTTAAGGTTTACTGCTTGATATTGTTTCTGCTTAAGTTTTCATTCAGTTGATTCGTCCAAGCTCCTTTTAAATGTTCTCCTTTTATGCAGTGGATAAACATAGGACAAATTCCGTGCTTTGAAGGTGGAGGTCATCACCGGCCAAACAGGCATGCTGAGATTTCCAGGCTTATATTTCGTGAATTGGAAAGGATTTCCTGTATGAAAGACACTTCACCTCAGGTGGTCTATCACTAATATAGTATGTTTGAAATTGATTTTATTTTTATGCTTTGGATTTTTCATAGCTTTTTGTTCTAAATAATATACTTCGTGTGGTCTTAGACATTGATTTTCTATCGTCAAATGTCATTAGATGTTTTCAGATTCCCCTTCAATTAGTTTTTTATTTTTTTTTATAAATATCTCAAAATTAACATGAATTCAACTTACCTGCCTATCTGGCTAAGAGTTCCTTTTGTTGTTATCTCTTTCGATGCGAAAGATTAATTGAGCTTATTTAATTAACATCTGGCACCAAATGAATTACATTTCTAAAGACTCTAGAATCCTAGTAAATTTTTGAAAAACTTATGTTTTGGATTAACATGGTTCTAGGAAACAAGTTGGCTTTGGAGTAGGTCAGTTTTAGAAAACAAGGTGCGTAAACAAATTTGTTTTGTATAAAGGTGGTTTTAGGAAAACTAGGTTGTTTTGAAAAGCAAATGTATAGGAAAGAAGGCGGTTTTTATTTTTATTTTTATATTTATTATATTTATTTTTATTTATTTCCGATAAGTTATAGGAAAGGTATTTTAAGAAAATAATTTCAAGAATTGGTTTCTAGGAAAACAAGTGGTTTTAAAAAGAAAAAAGAAAAAAGAAAAAAAGAAGAAGAGTGAAACAAATTTGTCTTCTATAAAGGTGGTTTTAAGAAAACTAGGTTGTTTTGGAAAAAAAAGAAAGAAAAAAAAAGGTGGTTTTAAGAAGACAAGCCTACAGACCATCTTGACTTCTCTTTGGTGGATATTTTCATGAGCGAATGCAATATAACCTCATCCATTACTCATCACATTTGCTTACTTCCAAAAACATCAAAGATTTTGAAAATCAAAGGAATCATGCTCTGGAAAATAAAAATTGAAAACAAGCAAGCACTTTTATAATAAACATTCTTTGAGAAATATATCTGGATCGGTTCTTTCATGAGTTTGAGATTTGTAATTTCATTTATGTGTTAAGTCAGACTTGCTTCTGAAAAGCAAGCAATCAGCAAAAGGCAAATAAACATGTTTTAAAAAAATTGTTTCAAAAGAAAAGGGAAAACATGTTTTGAAGAAGTTTCATTTGAAAAGAAAAGGAAAAGAGAAAACATGTTTTTGCCTTTTTGGTTCGATCTTATTTTGGTAATTTTCTTTGTTGATTTTAGTAATTTTGGTACTTCTCAAAGTATATGACATTTTTGAGATGGAGGAAGTATCAGATTTACTCTAAATAAGGAGAAATAATAAACTAAAACTATCTACATGGATACGAGGGAAGCAATAATTAATAAGTGCATAAGAAAGCGAACAAATCACGCAGCTATTTATTTATATATATATATTTCCAAATCACGCAGCTATCAAAGAAAATATATATACTTTTTTGGGATGCAAGTGTTCTAGCCCCTGAAAGATTTCAGTTGCAATATATCACTGCTGAGTGGTGGCTAGGGGCAGTTCTTACCCCTCATCTCCATCATACCATTTTAAACCCTCCATTTTATTGTATTTAGGTTTATTAGACTACCAATTATCCAAAAAGCTTAAGCTGTGAGAGGGTGTAACATTAGGTATTTCAATAATCTAACATGTCTCCTCATTTGCAGCCAGATCTTGATCCAACAAGTATATCAATTATAATTATCTAAGAAATGAGGGGATTTGAACTTGAGTCTTTTCATGCTTTGCTACAATGAAAAGAAAAAAAGAATTCTTCCTTTATTTTTATTTGAATATATTACAACTTGTTTATATACTTTTTGCAAGATTTGGAGGTTGAGAGATTTCATATGGAAGAGGGATTCATGGAGAGATTTCCTTGGAATTAGAGAGCTGCACAGCTGTTTTGGTGAAACAGATATAAGGAGGATTTACATGGTTTCCGAAATCTGTGGGATTTGATATGCCTAGTTACCATTTTGGTTATGGTTCCTTTAACATGCTCCTTCAAACTCAACGGTCTGATTTCCAAATGAAACTAAAACGTCCCAACGAGAGATCTTTTGTCAAGGTGTCTGCAAGTTGATATTTGGTAGAGATGAACTGAACATGAAGATGGCGTTTAGCAACTTTCTCATGTACAAAGGAAAATTAATCTTGGTATGTGCATGGATTACCCATTCACGGGTAGATACGTAGCACGAATGTTGTAACACCAAATAATTGAATGTTGAGGAAGATAAATACTCAGTGAACCGAGAAGAGATTGTACCCGCGTGAGTTCAGCTGCAGCACATATTAGAGCACTGTATTCACTTACTATGTTTGATCGAGCCACAACTTGTCATTTCGTGATTGCAAAGATATCAATTAAGGTCTAAGAAATATCAAATAGCGTCCTTGGACTTATAATTGTCTAGCCACCTTGCTCAATTTGTGTGGGAATAAACTGATATTTGCAACGAATCAATTCTTGGTTAGTCAATCTGGAACTATTTGTTTGTAATAGTGCAATATTCATTCGACCATAGGCCAGTGAGAGTTTGTAGGTTTGATGAATGAACTGACACGCCACATTTACAATTGAGAGATGCCTGGTCATGCAACGGTGACATACTGAAGAGCTCCTATGACTTGTCCATAAATTTTTGGTTTGGACACAGGTATTCCACAGAATTTTGAGATATGAGCATTGCATGGTATACAGGTGGAGATGGCTTTGATTTGGCCATCTTTGTTTTGTTGAGAAGATCAGGAATAGATTTTTGTTAACATAGACGCAAACCATTTGGTGTGTGTTGAATTTCCACTGTTAGAAAATAATGGAGTAGCCAATGTCTTTGGTGGAAAATTCTGTGCCCAAATTGATGAATGGTGTGATCTAAGGTGGAATAATCATTTCTAATGATTACAAAATCATCACCATAGATAAGAATACAAACAATCACCCCATGGTCGTGGTGATAAAGAGCGAAATGTTATTTTTAGGCCTAACAAATCCAATGTCTATAATGAAAGAGCTAAGGTGATAGGAACATGCTTGTAGTGCTTGTTTAAAACCACAGATAGAGTTGCCTGAGGAGATGCATGTTGTGAGTAATGGTCATCTATAAAGTCAGGTGGTTAAGTCAAGTAGATCTCCTATTGTAGATTTCCATGCAGCAAAGCATATGTGGCATCGATTTGTTGGTGGATTTTCCACCCTTTGGAGATTGCTAAAGATGGTATGAAATTTATTGTTGTGGATTTAACAACATGATTGAAGGCAATTGTATAACCTATACCCTTTTGTTGGTTAATGCCTTTTGCAACAAGGCATGCTTTATAGCATTCAACTATGCCTTTTGGTTTTGTTAGTTTTTTTGTATTCCACAGTGGGGTGGAACCAACACCCTTATGCGATTTCTTGTAAGTGTGAGCTTCATTGTCATGGTGGTATATCGTGCTCTGTAACAGGAAATATAACAAGACTACATGCACGTTTCAAATATGCTACTGTCAAGTAATTATCTAGTGTTAATTAAGAATTACATCGTTTAAACTAGGTTAATGTATTGTAGTGAAATGAATTTTATGAATCCATCCGTCATACCACAATTTAAGAGCATGTGGCTTACTGGGTTCTTGATCCTATCACTTGAGTTAAAACCATCGGCATTTAAAGTAATAATGCCTACTGTCAGATAATAAACTTCCATTCATGGAAAAAGTATAGTGCTAGAGTAAGGTTGACTTAGAGAAATCAAATAACGAGAAACTGCGTGGAAAACTGGAACATGTCCGAGTTGAGTTTTTACTTCGTGGCTCATCATTGAGTTCAAATTTACTTGAAATGTTTTAAATCTTACATTTAGCATTTGATACTTTGTATTTTAAAGTTTAAATCTCATTTCGAATACTATTAATATGCGTACTCCTTTTTTGGTATGCATAACTTTAAATCTTTATGCTAGAATATTTAAAATTAGGATACCAATGCATTTGATTTCATTGTTAGAAAGATTATATTGGTATCTTATAAAATTGAGACAGGATATACTGATGTTATATATAATTTATATATGAAGAGTCTTTAGTATTTGACTCGATCAAGTTTTTGGGTAACTTAACTCAATGATGTTTCGAGTCAAGTTCGACTTTTTGAAAATTGCATTGATGTACTTTTCAATTCCAAATTACCTTAAACTGGTATCTGACTTAACCAAATTTTATTATTTTTAGTGATTAGGGTAAAGAAACCGTTGTTTATATTTCAACTATCTAAAGTTTTTAATTTCTGACTGAAGATCATTCTTTGCAATTCTACCTTCTGTTTGAATGTTTCCTTTGGTTTTATTTATTCTTTTTCTTTTATACTCACACAGACATACCAATATTATACACACACACACATGCATGTGCGTTGCTTTCTTAGCCGTTGTTCTTTGTCAGTGATTATGTGTTTTTATTTGATAATATGCAGGAAGTACTTGTCATCCGCAAAATTCATCCATGTCTGCCATCTTTTAAAGCAGAATTTACTGCATCTGTTCCTCTAACACGAATTAGAGATATTGCTCATCGAAATGATATCCCTCATGACCTTAAGGTTATTCTTCATGCAACACATGTTGATTTTTATTATTTTCAAATGGTTTATGTGATATATTTACTGATATCTACATTCCAGCAAGAAATCAAGCATACAATACAAAACAAGCTTCACCGAAACGCTGGCCCTGAAGATTTGGTTGCTACAGAAGCAATGCTTGCAAGAATTACCAAGAACCCTGGAGAATATAGTGAAGCATTTGTAGAACAATTCAATATATTCCATCATGAACTCAAAGATTTCTTCAATGCTGGAAGGTCTGATATATGTAATTCTATATCTTAGATAACCTTGAATCCCAAATTGTTGTCGTCTTTATGGCGTTAGTTACTTGCATCTGTTTTCCATTATATCTGCCAAGTGTATAAACAATTATAATAGCTGTAAAACTCCTATATTACAAAGTTTGGTAACAATAACAAAATAATTTAATTTTTGCTACCACAAAAATTCTGCGAAATGATCTCATCATAAAATTATGTTTTATTTCTATGATTTTCTTAGTCTTTTACATATGAGTTTATGGTGATTCTGTTTTGATTGAAGTTAGGCTGTGCTGAAGTTTAATTGTTGCCAGTTGGCTCTGCATTATGCGACTTCTAAATTGTAGTGAAGGTCACTTGCTTACTGCAGCATCAATATGTTCCTATGTTCTATATTTTGTGTTTTAAATGCAACTGCTTTGGATATATATCTTATTACTGTAAATTAGGTCGGGGAATGTTTCATATTTATAATTTTTTCACTCTAACAGTACCTTATCACCTACCAAAAAAGATAAAAGAAAAGAAAAGAAAAAAAAAATCACATTATTGGTTATCATCTAGAATGTCAATATTACTGCTAAGGTAGATTACTATATTTACATGTTATACATGTGATGTTGTGGCCCGAATTTGGTTCTGGGTCGTGTTGAGACCTGTTTTCTACACGACGACCAGTAGATTGAGTTTTTTTTTTTTTTTTTGCTTGTGGGTCATGGACCCTGTTTAGTACTCTCTTGTTGAGGGCGTTTAGGGTTTGGAGTGGGAGGTTGAGAGACACTGAAAATTTCAGAAAAGAGAGTGAGAGCCAGAGCTAAGGTTTGGGGGCTGAAACTTGAAATCTCTAGATTTTTGTATAGTGATTTTTTTGCTGGATCTTCACCGTTGACGTAGGCTTTGCCGAACCATGTAATATTTTTTGTGTGGTGTGTTTATTTTCTGTCGTGTTTCGTGATTGTTTTCTGGGATCGCTGCGTTTGTCGTAACAATATATAAGTGGTCATTCAAGTCTTGTTAAACATTGTTTCACTACTACTCAAAATTTACTGTGATATTGTGGCCCGAAACCGCTCGGGCTACAAGAGACTAATTAGGGTCCACGACCCATGAACAAAAAACGGGTCAAAAATTATCCAACGAGTCACTGGAGTGGTGGACAAGAAAGACTCTGATATTCGTATAGAAATAGAGTGAGGGGCCAAAAAAAAACTTGTAATCTCCAATTTTACATATAGTGAAAACTTTCACCGGATCCCAACCGTGGACGTAGGCTTTTGCCGAATCACGTAAAAATCTTTGTGATCTTTGTGTGGCGTGTTTAATTTTTGTCGTGATTCTTGGTTCAACTTAAGTTCATTGCGTTTGTCATAACATTTACCTTAACCTCACTTTGAGCTTCAGCTACTACATCCCCAGGTACTTAATTTTATACGTATAGAGGATTTACATGATAGTCTAATATAAGTCCCAAGGGCCTTTCACATAGAACAGGCTTTTAAAAATATTCAGTTTCACCCCAGAATAAGAAAGGAAGTTTAACAACCTTGAAAAATCAGCCATATTTCCTTGTTCTGACAATTGGAAATTAGACAGATCATTCACTTGGGTGTGTAACCACACTTGTGTGTTGACACACATGCCTTAGTTCATTTAAAATAGGTTGCCTGTTAATTATTCTTGACATGTTATTCTATTTTGTGTTTTTAAACGTGAGATCTGAAGGGAAAAGGCTATTGAATGCTCTCACTTTGACCCATGTTTTACAATTTTTGGACTATAATCTTTTAATATCTGGGGGATCAGTGGGATGGTGCTTGCAATCCATGTCTGTGAAGTTATTATTATTTTTTCTCTCGTTATCTGTGAAGTATAAACGAGAATTTTCTGACTTTTCTTGTATAATCAATATATAAATGTTAACTCAGTTTTGCTTCCCTGATTTAGTTCCACTTCAAAATTGACTGAAATCTTTCTTAATTTTGGAATTAAAATATTTAATATCTATAATTAAAGTATGATTCTACACTAAAACCAACTTTATTTCACCTGTGCTACTTCACTAACCATTAGTTATAGGGCTACCTAAATACACAATGGGTTAGATGGAAAATGATGGCTATATTTCCATGATTCAGGGGTTCTATCAAAGTGCTCTGTGTATACAGATACTACAAATACTCGATGAATAAAAAGTATGACCTAGTATCTTAAATTAATATAATTTTGTAAATGACTAAAATCTTTCTCAAATTTGAGACATTAAACATTGATGACTTATAATGTATAAGAACTTATTTTATTTACAGAAAGTGATTCTTGTAAAAAACATTATCCAAATTACCATTTTGATAATCCAAAATTAAGTGTGAGCTTGTTTGTAAATGACTCATCTGGTTAACTACGTCTAATTTGATCTCTGTTTATGGTTTTGTGTCATTGCAGCCTTGCAGAACAACTTGAATCAATAAAAGGATCTTTGGATGAGCGGAGCTCATCATCCCTTTCATTATTTTTGGAGTGCAAGAAGGTAGATGGTCACTTCTCGTTATTCCTGGTCTCATTTTGTGATTTGTTGTTTACCAGCATGCAGCAATTATGTGAATTCAATTATGGACACATGATAATTGTTTGAATCTCAATTTACATAACAGTGTAGCAGGCTTTACACATGCATACAAGTTTCCAGATTTTATATAGAAGAAATACAATAAGAAGAAAAAGGAGAGAAATGAGAGAATTGTGTAAAGGCTTGAATAATGAGATTAATCACTCATTCACAACTATAGTTTTTATAGCTAAAAAGAGCACATGCTCATATTACAAGAAAGGAAATTAAATCAAATCACAGTATATTCTATGGCATATTCTATACCATGATTTGCGGCTATCATATCTCAGATAATATGGTAAGTCACATTCCCATGATTTGCGCCTATCATAACTCAGCTAACACTACCCCTTAAGTTGGTGAGTGGATGTCTGAGACGCCCAACTTAGACAATGCATCCTTAAACACAGTCTTGCTAACACGTGCAAATTTGATTGGCGATGCTTTTCTGGCAAATGAAGTGCGGATCAACAAATCAAAGTGTCTCCTCACACCATAAACATTCAACAATGTCTCCTTAGACCAGAAACAACCATGTCTCAGACCATAAAGAACCAACCATGTTTCCTCAGACGATAAACAACCAATAATGTCTCCTCAGAGTGTAAACAACTAACAATGTCTCCTCAGACCATTTCCCTTTGTATACATGTTTAAAACATGTAGATAGAAGAATCAACAATGTCTCCTCAGACCATAAAAAAGAAACAACTATGCCTCCTCAGATCGTTTCTGAATGGGTGGTGACAAACTCAACGCCCTCGTTGAGGTCGGGACCTCCTTACCTACCCGACAACTCGTGGAAGGGCATTAGACCATTCTCGAATGGGTGAGACTGAACTCGCAATGCCCTTATTGCAGTCGGACCACCCTGGCTCTGATACCAAGAAGAAAAAGAGAGAAATGAGAGAATTGTGTAAAGGCTTGAATGAGATTAATCACTCATTCACAACTATTGTATTTATAGATAAAAAGAGCACATGCTCATATTACATGAAAGGAAATTAAATCAAAACTAAATCAAATCACAACATATTTTATGCCATGATTTGTGGCTATCAAATCTCTCCTAATATGGTAAGTCATTCCATAAATCGTGGTTATCATATCTGTTAACATATGTTGACAGTGACTTGTTTATAGTGGTTATCTATACGCTACACATGATAAGTCTACATTACCTTGATGTCTGCAATGTGAACATCTGTTTTTGTTTTTGTTTTTTTATTACTATTACACACAATGTTTCAAAAGATTGTTTACTGTCTTAGTGGGAAAAGAAATGAGACCACCCAGTAGGTTTTGATTGAGGGCTGTTGTCAGACCATAAATGCCGAATTCTGGAAACCCAATGCTTACTTGGGCACTCGGGTAGTGATGACTTACAATAGTCATTAAATATCTCCCAAATGGAGAGACATCCAAAATAATAATATCAATTCCTTATCTTCAAATAAATTGAAATCCCAATTGATGAGTTTAGGACCTGCTATAAGAATTCCAGTAAACATCCAGAAACCAAAAAATCCGTCGCATGCAATTGTAATAGCCCATCCCCACAACATGCTTTCAAGACAATTTGCATACTTCACTAAATTTGGAGAACGAGACCAATAAAAAGCTACCATAGAAAAACCCTAAATGGATAGATATTTATAATTTCAATACTAAATAGTTTTCTTCTCTGTTCCGAGGAATCAGATACTGACAAGAGCGGTAATGAGCTAAAGGAATCATAATATTTCTTTGCATTATATCATATTTTGGTTCGAGATGCTGATTAGAATACATACAGTGACAATCTGGAACCAGAGAAGGTTAAATGGGACAAAATGATCTTCCAGCTTATTTTTGGAAAATAGGCTTGATGCTTGTATATTTATTTCACTGTATCTCAAATTAAGCATGAAGAAATGGATTACAAAGTGGTAGATTTATTTCACTCTTGATTTATTACTTTACAAACTACATATATATTTTTTTCCAAATTATTTGGAGGAAAGAGTTACTACCCTGGGTACCATTTAGCAGTGTTGTTTAGTGATGTTGGTTCTAATTTCTATGTTAAATGATAGTAGGTGATTCTTTTTTTATTCTAGGATCTCGATGGTTTGGGTGGAACAAGTAATGAGATTGATCTATTGATCAAAACAATACACTCTTTGCATGCTTTGCGAGAAGTAATTGTGAATGGTCTTGAAAGCGGTCTTCGAAATGATGCCCCTGATACTGCGATTGCAATGCGACAAAAGGCAAGATCACTTACAGTTTTCATTTTGCATTTGCTTGAAATTGGGATGAAAATACCAAATAATAGAGTATGATACTCTGTTCTTTTCTGTACTGGTTTTTGTACAGTGGCGTCTTTGTGAGATTGGACTTGAGGACTATGCATTTGTACTTCTGAGCAGGTATATTATGTTGTTGAACAACTATATTATCTTTAGCACCCCACATAGGCAGGACTAGCAAAATGGGTAGTTGCGTTGTTGATGTTGTTGTTGCTGTTTTTTTTTTTTAAATTTAGTTTTCTAATTTTTTATTACTTGAGATATACTATGGCTCTTCTTGTGCGGAAATTGTGAAGATGAAAAAAAAAAAATCCTTCATACAACTTTATCAATCCTCGGATGCTTTAGAGATTTTGCACTTTTGAACAGTGGGATCCTTAGTTCATAACATAGCCTCAGGTGAATGAACATCAATCCACTCTCTGACAATGTGTGCCACTCCCTCTCAAACCAGCATCACAAACATTACGTGATCTAAACCAACTACGGAACCCTCAACAGTACAACCACCACTAGAGCTACCGCTACCGCTCCTGAGCTAGGTTTAGAATTAAAACCACGAGGTCCTTCAGAACTGTCTGCTTATCATACTATGATTGACTCCTATTTCCTGTTCTTTCTAAATCCTTGTCTCTATTCTCATTCCTCTGATTCTCTCTATTGTAAAGCATAAAACGGAAGCGAAGAGATAAATAAAACAAGTAGAACACATGTATTACGTGGTTCTGCCACTAGGGCCTACATCCACGGCACAAAGAGCCCAAAGGGCTACATCACTTTTATAATACTCTCTCAATTCATATACAATACAATGGTGGAGGCTCCTTTATATATGAGAAGAAATTATGAGAATGGAAAGAATTAGAAAATAGGAAACAAGGAGGATTTTTCTCCACTAATTCCTCTAGTAACACCAAATCTTCAATAATAGGAAACAACATCAATTACTGAAAGATTTCTCCACTGATTCCTTCATTAAATCGTCAATACTCCCCTTCAAGTTGGAGCATGAATGCCCAACTTGCCATTGAGATGACGAGTAACAAGAAGTGTGAATGATGAAGAGAGAAAAGAGGAGAGAGAAGACGAAGAACAATGTTACAATGCTACCGAACACACCGGCAGCCCAAACAAGTCGATAAAAACTGCCGGAGACACGGAAAAGACGAAGACAATGCTACCGAACACACCGGCAGCCCAAACAAGTCAATAAAAAACTGCCGGAGACACGGCAAAGACGAAGAACATTACTGTTGAACAAATTGGCAGCCCAAATAAGTCACAAATAGCACCGAGAACCCTTAGCAGCATTTCAGATGGTAAGGGAATACCCCAAAATAGGGGTCCAAACCTAGGAAGAGAAATTAGGCTCTAATACCATGTTGTAAAGCATGAAATGGAAACAAAGAGATAAATAAAACAAGTATAACACATGTATATTGTGGTTCAGCCACTAGTGCCTACATCCATGGCACAGAGAGCCCAAAGGGCTACCTCGCTTTTATAATACTCTCACAATTCATATACAATACAATGGTGGAGGAGAAGAAATTATGAGAATGGAAAGAATTAGAAAATAGGAAACAAGGAGGATTTTTCTCCACTGATTCCTCCATTGAATCTTCAATAATAGAAAACAACATCAATTACTGAAAGATTTCTCCACTGATTCCTCCATTAAAATCTTCAATACTCTCAAACTCTCCCAAAGAGCTACGGTTATCTCCAGATCAGAACGTGAATCATCCACTGTATCAACAACCTTCACCTACTCCTCATCATCCTGCCCTCTTAACGACACCGCTTCTCTCCTTTTCTGTTTTCTCTTCTTCTCTGCTTACCCTCTGGAAGACGCTTCATAATCTATTCCCATAACTTTTCTACTTGTTCATACAGTGCAACATTCCCCTTCTCATGTGCTAAAGTGTTTCTTCAACCTTGTGATGCCATTTCTAATGATCACAAAATTTGCAAGTCAATTTGTATCTATCCATATGAACTGGAATACCAAATCTTCAACCTATGTCATCACTCATCACCCATACCACTAGTGTCTTAACCTCTCCTGTTTGACATGGCATCTTCAAGTTGCAAGGCTTCTATAAATTACAAATCTATATAATACATCCAACTGCAAATAATCTGTATTTTTGACTTATTAGTGCTAGTAGTTTATACTTAACATTACTCTACAACTATAAATTATAACTTCTAAATTAGTCATCCACTAAAATTCTCAAGTCCTAATGTAAATTCGGAACCTATGGTTACTAGTAAAATAGTGATTACTAATTCTGTATTAATATTATAAATCTAATGTACTAAATTAGTAATCATCTATTATACACTTCAGAAAATAAAATATCAATACTATCCTATGGATTACCTTCTGGAAAAAAGAAAAAAAAAATCACTATCCTATGGATTGTTGTACTCGTGGTGATTTGTGGAACCAATGGGATTGTTGTGTATACAAGTCAAATCAATGGATTGAAAAAATTGGGGAGTAGAGTCTGAAGTGCCGGGTAACATTTTGTTTTTTTTCAGTGTTGGAGGTTATGAACAATTCTCTTGGCCACGTAAAATTTCTAGTCTCTGTTTTTCCCCCGTTTTTTTTTTTTTTTTCACACTGGTTGATTTTGTGGATGCTTGATGAAGTTTGGAATTAATTAAAATCATTCAAAAAAAAAAAAAAAAGACTGAAACAAAATTACTTGTTCCCCCTCCCTCTCAGAACTAATCCACACCTGTAAACCTCTGGGCATTCCAGTTGTGCAACTTTAAGGATTAATTTATCACAGTGTAAGGGAATGCCCTCTTTTCTCTTGTGCTATAATGTTCTATCTTTGATATTAATACAACCAACCCATTTATGAAAAAAAAAAAAAAAAAAAAAAATTGATAACATTGTATCTAATGTACTGGAAATGCAATACTCCCTCCATCTCAAATTAATATTCCATCTTTAGTCTTCTAACTCTAAAGGAACATGCATTTAATGTGTTGTCCCATTTTAAATTCCCAACTTAGCCTTTGAAATTTTATTTTATTTATTTGTTTTTCTTGGGCCTTACCCTTTGTAGTTTGAATATATGTATTATCAAGTTGGGAAATTGTTGAAAAGTTAAAGGGTATTAATTGAAAATGCATTTATTTTACTTTTACTTCTCAAATGGGACAAGTATTTTGGGACGGACAAAAAAGGAAAGATGGAATATTAAATTGGGACGGAGGGAGTATCATTCAGGGGCTGATTGGCCATTTTCCAAAGCTAATAATTCTTGCAAAGTTGGTGACTTTAGTGGCATATAGTTATAACCATTAGGTGAAACCTATTTACCTGGGACTATGTTCGCTGTTTGGGTTGTAGAATTGATTTTGTTCTATTTAAATCGTTTCTATTACAGGTTGTACAATAGATTGGAGATTTTTTTTGGACTAATGCATTTTTTACTTGATCTGTATAGGTTTCTCAATGCACTTGAAGCTCTGGGAGGGGTTCATTGGCTTGCAGAGAATGTGGAATCAAAGAATGTTAGCTCTTGGGAAAATCCATTTAGAGCTCTCATTCTTGGCATTCGTCAGCTGGGGCTATCCAGTTGGAAGCCTGAAGAATGTGCTGCTATTGGAAATGAACTTCTGGCATGGCAAGAAAAGGGTCTTTTAGAAAGAGAAGGTATTTGATTGCTTCAATGTCGTAACACTTTCTAAACATCTTCCGAGTATTCGACTAGTTCAATGTAGTAATGCAGCTAATGCTTCTTAAACATCATTATGTTGATCTTATAAAGGTAGTGAAGATGGTAAGACAGTTTGGGCACTAAGGCTCAAAGCTACCCTTGATAGATCTCGGAGGCTGACGGAAGAATATTCTGAGGCACTTCTTCAGATATTTCCTTCAAAAGTCCAGGTATAGCTTCTGTTTCTATGTTCGGATTGGAGTCCATATTGTGCATGAAACTTGTATATCATCACTTTATATTGTTGTAAATTGACTCAGTCTGCAGCTGGATGCTTCTGTTGTCTTGTCTTACGCTAGAGAACATCATAGAATAACTTTCAGGGCTTATCGCCCCCTGTATTAAAGTATTTAGCATCTGAAGTGAGTCCTATAGTGCACATGTGCTAGATTTTTATAAAAAAATAATTGGGGTTTTGATCTGATGTTATTCCTGAATATGTGCTAGATTTTTATAAAAAAATAATTGGGGTTTTGACCTGATGTTATTCCTGAATCTTGCAGACATTAGGGAAAGCTCTTGGAATTCCTGAAAACAGTGTGAGGACATACACTGAAGCTGAAATTCGTGCTGGGTATGGTAGTGCTATTATACATTTCCCGTTGAATTAAAGCTGTAATTTATATGCTATAAATTATCAGCCTTCTAATTCTGATACTGGTTTTATTGAATATACATTTGGATAATTGATTATTGAACTACTACTGCCTTCTAACTTTGCATGGATAATGTCATCTCTAGTGTAATTTTTCAGGTTTCAAAACTTTGTACGCTTCTTTTAAAAGCTATCAGAACCACACTTAGGTCTCAGGGTTGGGATGTCCTTGTTCCAGGAGCTGCTTTTGGAACCCTAATACAGGTACTCAGTTACTCCCACTTCCAGCACATGAATTAAAATTTTTACCTTTTCATTTTTGTTTATCCAAAATATGTAAACTTTTAATTCGAGCGTGCTCTATAATTGAGATGTTGAAATTTTCTTAATTTTGAAGCCAAGAAGAGAAGGGGGAAAAAGTGAAGTGAATTGAAGCAGTTAAGAAATCATTTAGACTGATAATGGGTTAACAAAATTTTGTCCCTAATTGCATTTAATGAATTTTTTTCTGAAAAATAACCCATACAATATTGTATAATAAAATTATTGAATTAAGTATTTGGAAATCAACTCTTCCATTTGCATTTCTGGTTCATGTTGCCTCAATTCAAAAAATATGCCTGCATGATAGCTATTGCCAACTATTACTGCTCCTGGTTTTTTCCCACTATTAATGTGAAAAGAAGAAAGAAAAGTAAATCTCTCATTCTCTCTCTTCCGTCAAATGCAATGAGTCAGGTGTCTAATTGAAGTTTCAGGATGATAGTTTTTTGCAAAAATTAAGAACATTGTCCCATATATTGGGAGCATTAAATTGAGTGCTCATGCTAATATAGATGAAAAGCATACAAGTCATCTTAATGCAACAAAGTCTTGTCCCAATTTTTAAAGTTGGCCTCACGCATTCTTGCATGGCGATCATCTCAGTCAAGGATCATATCTTTTATTAGGGAAAAAGAGAGAACAAAAAGAGTTGGAGAGTTGTGCCATACAAGAGACATTAAGGGCTTGCTTGGTGCAGTTTATTTAGGTTGCAACTCGCAAGGATTTTGAAGGGATGTGCTTCCTTAGAAGACATTTTTCCTTTAACTTCTAAAAAAAGAAGCGTTTAATGAGAGCTGGATTATGGACACATCATGAATAAACCAGAGCTTTTATGAGGCAATGTCCAGAATTGAATAAAAATATATAAAAGGAACTTCAAAAAAATAAAAAAAATTCTAACACGTCATGAAAAAATTAGGGATTTTTATTTCTTAAAATTTATGCAATTAGAAAACTAGAACATGAATTCAAAGTGGAGATGTAATGTGTGTTTGCAATAACTATGGAGAATCTGAAGACAACATATAAAAAGGAAGAAGAAGATGATGACGAAGAGTTTGCAGCGCCTCTTCTTTTTCCAGATCGTTTTTACAATCCCAAAAGCCTCAACGTGCCATGTCTGTCTTCTAGCAATGTGTACTTTATTTTTAACATATAAAGATCAAGATTTGTCAATAAAATAAAGGAATGACGGCGAAATGGGTTTTTTAGGATAAAGATGGACTTCAACCTTTTTAACTTTAGTAGTTGGTTAGCCTTGAGATAGTTTGCTTCACACCCACACGGGCTTCCAAAAGATGGGCTTTCTTCTTAAATCCCATTTACATTAATTAACTAATCCCAATTTTTCTGGAGAAGCCCTTTTGGTTTGAAAATTTAGCCCAAAAAGCTCCCCAAGATCAATCTAGAACTCCAAGGGTCGTAAATAATTTTAACTGGAACAAAAATAACTTTTTAATAGAGTGGCAAGCATGCACTTCATACACTCTCTGGCACTATCTTCACCTATGTATTTATTGCTGTCCTCTTGTCCTCGTATTTTGTTAACTTGGAAGAGATCCCTTCTTTTTGAGGCAGTATTTGTCTTCAATAAACATGACCAAATTATTCCAGCCAGTTATCTTTCTTCAATGCATTGATATTTACTGATCATCCACCTTTACATCTTCATTTAATTATGTATTATATGGATGTTTTCTTTTTGTTCCATGACACATTCTGTACTGTGGAATATGGGTGGCCTTGTACCCGTATTTTTATACTTCTCTTTTAATTTGATTCATCTCTCGATCTTGTAGCACTATAGAATCACTTCCCCACAAAATCCATTGAGCTGTATTTTTCAGCAATGTCCTCATCAATCTCCCTTTGTGACTGAAGAAAATTATGTTAACAAAACTGGTTGCTAATTGCTAGCTCTTGGCTAATATATATATATATTTTACTATTCCAGCATATCCATTCTGTGTTTGTTGAATCAAAATCCAGGTTTTAGTATTAATTTTACCATCCTAACTTATTTTATATTACAAAATCTATTCATAGTTAGTGATCAGTTAGTGGTCAGTTTCTTCTTGTTGTCAATCACACCATATAACATGATTCCTTTCCTGAATTTGTCCATTCATGAAAATTGTAAGAGTATTGGGTTTTATCCATGTAAATCTATGACAATTGGATCAATCGGTTGCCTACATAATTGGCATTTTTAAGTTTGTTCTTGTGGTCATAATTTTTATTGTTTAAATCAATATATCTTTTGGGTATTCCTTTCATTTTAAATTTCACAACATAGAGACCCTCTGATTTGCTTATTTATTTATTATTATTATTATTAGTATTTTATTTATTTTTTTATGTTTGTAGTATGAAAATGTTTCCTCTTCCTAAGCTTTCTACCGATTTTCTGATGGGGAAAATAACTGATACCAATTTTTGTTGGTTATGACCTTGCACAGTTTAGTCAACTAGGCTATACCAACATCACATTTAACTTGAAAGTGTTGAAGTTTTCTATTTGTATTTCTAAGTGCTTTTCAAACTTCAGAGAATCAAAAACACTTGTGTGATGCAAAGAAACTATAGTTAATGCTATATTTTTCCTACTGTGGCATAAGTTTAATTCTAATTTCTTATACATCCAAATATGTATTGTTTCTTATAAAAGAACAAATTTTGAATGATCTTTTGTCATCTTTTTTTTTTTATATATAATCAGAACTACAATTTTTCGTTAGGTTTCCCTCAACCCTAACTAAATGCACTATGGCTGTATTCCTAACATAAATTCCGTTTAGCCGACATTTATTCACATGGCACTAAGTTTATTTGATTTTAGGTTGAGAGCATTGTCCCTGGGACACTGCCATCATCTGTAACCGGACCTGTTATTCTTGTGGTCAGCAAAGCAGATGGAGATGAAGAGGTCAGGAATATTTCCTGTCTCGCTATATGTTTTTATCTATAAATCATTGGACTGTAAATACAATGCAGCAGAGGAATAAATGTTCTCACATTTGATGCATCTGGCAGGTAACTGCTGCCGGGAGCAATATAGTTGGAGTTGTACTTCTGCAGGAGCTGCCTCACTTATCTCATCTTGGTGTTAGGGCACGACAAGTTAGTCTTATACTTCATTCTCTTTGAGAGTATCATGTTTTCATGTAGTTATGAAGGTAATATAATCATGAATTATTCTCGCAATCTGCAGGAGAATGTTGTATTTGTGACATGTGAAGATGATGACAAAGTTGTTGAGTTGCAAAAACTCAATGGAAAATATGTGAGGTCGTCTTTCTGGACTTCACACCATCTAGGATCAGATTTTCGTTACCATGAGTATTGATTATTATTCACGCGTCACACAATCTGATGTTTTGGCTTTTAACTATTCTTTCTTAGGTTAGAAGCATCTTCAACGTGTGTTAATATAATTCCATCTTTGTCGGATGCTCAAAGTGGCGATTCTCCTGTAAAGAATCTTTCAACTAACGGCTCATCCACAGTTGGAATCCCAGGGGAAAATCATTCATCCTGGTCTTCTGTCAAAACCCCTTACTCAAATCAGGTAATAATTTTTACATACTGATTCTGGTTCCTCAATCCAAACATGTCAGGCTGGCAGTCACCATCTATTGAACTTGAGTTTAGTTTGGAATTTGGTAAAGTAAGTGTTTTCTTCCAGGTTGAATCTACTGGAGGCGTTGTACTGCTTGCTGATGCAGATATACAAACTTCTGGTGCGAAGGCTGCTGCTTGTGGTCACCTAGCTTCTTTGGCAGCGGCTTCTGATAAAGGTAGCATATTTTGTACCCAAGATCGCATCTTTCCTTCTTTGAAGAATATCAACGCATCCTTCTTTTTTTTTTCTCTTCATAAAGAATAGATTTTTCAGTGACTGGAATGTTAATTTGCTTTCTGTGCCGTCATTATCAGCACCATGATTTGTAATGCCTTCTAAATTGTTTTAAAATTTTACCAACTTTTGTGGATATATTTATGTTTTAAATTATTTTCTTTATGTCTGCTGCTTTTTAGTATCCCGAGGACAACAGTATCTTATACAGTAGTATGAAACCCATTTCTCTTTCCCAATTGCATAAATGTCTAAAATTCAGAATATTTTAAAGGAAATAAGAAATTTCTTTTGTATGGTAATTTTTTATGCAATGGCTTGAGCTTTTGGTCATATTTTGTTTAATCCACATATAGTGTCGGGGCTTGTGTCAATATGGACAGGCATGTCAACACATTTAACCGTTGATCTGAATGCATATCCATGCCTCCTCTCCATTTTAGATGAAAAGATGAAACAAAACGCTAAAACTACAAATCGACTTCCAATATTACCACTATACTAGAACAGTGCGTACCCAATTTACTTGTGTATATGCAATTACAGCCATGTCATGCTGTGTGGATATGCATAACCATTTGCTGTATTCTTTGTAGGTATCAAAAAGAACTTTCTTGTTATTACTTCAGAAATTTTATTTATTTATTTATTTTCATTGGCAAGAAACACACCCACTCTGTCCCTATGGGGACTTGAACCCTCGACCTTCTACTTTGGAAAGTGAGGAAGTACCACTAGGCGACAACCATTGGTGTTATTGCTTCAGAATTGAAAGAGAAATAGTGTAATTTAGATGGGGACGATATGAATGCTTTGTTTGTTACTTAATTTTTGGTAAACGCATTGATCTGGTTCTATGCATGTAAAGCTGAACTCTTTTGAGGTATGGAACAAGGAGTATCTTGGTGACTTGTGCATAAGAGGCCTTTTTAATCTCTTGTATGTTGCATTTGAAATGAGCCCTTTTTTTTTTTTTTTTTTTTTTCCTTGAATGAAATGAACTCATTTTGACCATAGCAGAAAACAACATTTTTTCCGAGTTTATGCACATGGTCATTATGTAAATGGGCATACATCCATGCATAAATAATTGTTGTAAATAATGAAATAGAGAAGTGAAGAGAGAAATGAAACAAGAAGAACCCACATATATTACGTGGTTCAGCCACTAGGGCCTACATCCACGGCACAAAGGGCCCAAAGGACATCACTTTTATGATAATCTCTCAAATCATTCACATTACAATGGTGGAGGCTCCTCTATATGGGAGAAGAAATGATGAGAATGGAAAGAGATAGAAAATAGGAAACAAAGAGGATTTTTCTCCACTTATTCCTCTAGTAACACTAAACCTTCAATAATAGGAAAAATATCAATTACTAAAGGATTTTCCTCCACTGATTCCTCTATTAAATCTTCAATAATAATAAATGCAAACATACATGCAAACTTATTATTTTGCCTTAATGTTGCATAGACTCTTCTAAATTACTTAAATGCAGACAACAGTTGGACACCACGCTTACAAAAATTCTTCCACGACACACTATATTTCTTCAATCCAGTTACCGCAGAAAAACTGTTCAGCTCCACCATGGAGCAAGAATTAGGTTCATACGGTTGAAAGGAATACAAAAGCTTTAATCTATGGTGCTTTCGTCGAACTACACATCAAATGTTTGAATTCGGTTAGTGAAAGTGTTTCTCTATGGTTTTCCTCAAGTGAGTTGCAGGCCAAGCTATTTCATGTTTTTTCTTATATTTGATCAAACATTCTCTCTCTCTCTCTCTCTCTCTCTCTCGTAGACATCAAATCTATACATGTTTGCATGTGCGCGCGCAATATGTGTCTGTATATGCAACAGGGTTTTATTCAAATATCCTGATTTACTATGTATATCACTATATGTGATTTAGATATAATAACTCTGCAGTATCAGACCATAACCTAGTAAGTATGTTCATTGCATGCATTGTTATTGTGTAAAATATAAATGGGTGTAGTTTCTCAATGGCAGTCCACAGTGACCAAGGAGTGCCAGCTTCATTTAATGTCCCAGCAGGAGCTGTATTACCTTTTGGTTCGATGGAGCTGGCTTTAGAGCAAAGCAAGTCCATGGAAACCTTTAGGTGCTTGGTGGAACAGATAGAAACAGCCAAATTGGAAGGTGGCGAACTTGACAGACTCTGCGACCAACTCCAGGAATTGATCTCCTCTCTGCAGCCTCCAAAGGACACCATCAAAAACCTAGGGAGAATATTTCCAGGCAATGCACGTTTGATTGTCCGTTCAAGTGCTAATGTTGAAGACTTGGCTGGAATGTCAGCTGCCGGACTTTATGAATCAATTCCGAATGTCAGTCCTTCAAATCCAATAACTTTTGGGAATGCTGTTAGCCGAGTATGGGCTTCACTCTACACTCGAAGAGCAGTTTTAAGCCGTAGAGCTGCTGGAGTACCTCAGAAGGAGGCTGCAATGGCCGTTCTTGTGCAAGAAATGCTTTCACCTGAGTTATCCTTTGTACTCCACACATTAAGCCCGGTAGACAATGACGAAAATTCTGTTGAGGCTGAGATTGCTCCTGGGCTTGGCGAAACACTAGCTTCGGGCACCCGAGGCACCCCATGGCGTTTGTCTTCAGGAAAGTTTGATGGTCTGGTGAGCACATTGGCATTTGCAAATTTCAGCAAGGAGATGGTGGTCCTTGGTTCGGGTCCTGCTGATGGGGAAGTTCTCCATTTGACTGTAGATTATAGCAAGAAACCCTTGACATTGGACCCAATCTTTCGGCGTCAGCTTGGTCAGCGCCTTTGTGCTGTAGGTTTCTTCCTTGAGCGAAAGTTTGGCTGCCCTCAGGATGTTGAAGGATGCGTGGTTGGCAAGGAAATCTTCATTGTCCAGACACGTCCTCAACCCCGATAAGTGCTGCCTCCATTGTTCAGCCGTGCTGCTTGCTGTGATGCCAGTTAAGGACACACTGCTATTTAAGATGCTCCTCCTCGCAGGTATGTGTAGCACAACAGATAAGCCCCATGTATAATTTCAGGTCTCACTAAAAAGAGGTAAATTTTCATGGAACACCTCGCCTGCACATCAACTGCCGAAATTAGACAAACAATAATTTGTAAATTTTAATGGCTCCCAGTATGTAATAATGTATGTGGTTCATCGAATATGTCGGTTGCTATCAAACAGTTGCAATAAAAATGTCGGATTTCGTTAATTTAATTTTTAATATATATATATATTTTTATTTTTGCTTGGCTTCTTAAGCTCTAGCATGCATCTGTGCCTATCAGGTATTAATGAGCTATTGAGTACTGTTCTTGATGATTCCCAAGCTTAGAGAATCTGTCAAATGGTGAACCATCTTGACCGTATTCTCACCAGCCAAAAAGTTGGCTGTTTGTTTTTGTTTTCAGAAATTTGTTTTCATTTATTATTTTATTTCTGGAGATATTATGATGGATGGACTGCCCTTAGCCATGCTTAGCTAATGTGCCGCAATAAAAAGGTTGCATGTGTCTTAAAATAATAATAATAATAATAATAATAAATACAAATTAGACCCATTTGTAAATAGAGCCATCTAAAAATCATAAAACTTAATATATATATATATATATATAGAAATAGACCCATTTGTAAATTATTATCGGTTAGACCCATCTGAAAAAAAAAAAAAATTCCTTTTAACAAACATGGTAAATTATTAGTTTATTATCTTCTCTTCTATCTAACTGAACAAAAAGAATGAAACACACAATCTCTTCTATTGGGATATCTTATGCATCATTTCCTTCTATCTAATTTTTTTCTTTCCTACCGAACATAACATAAACGTTACCGGTCCCCACCCTCTCCGTCATGGCTCCCCTCTCCCCCACCGTTTTCTTTTCTTCTCCCTCTAAAATTCTCACTCTCTCCCCTCTAAATTGTCAATCTATTCTTCTTCAAATACAATCAAAATCCAATTGAAACTCCAGTTGCGGCAGTGGAGGAGATGAAAATGAGGCACGTGAAAAAGATGGAATACTTTTCTTTGTTCCTGTTTAATTAGTGATTGATACTAGGTCATCATGTCACTGTAAACATATCTAACATGCAACCACCCAATTTGATGGATTGAATCTCACTTTCTTACTATTTTAAGCATTCTAAATTTCGCTTCCAATACTTTTATTAAGATGATGTTTAACAACTCAATTCAACAATTAATTATCTAATTAACTATTTAAGTGCTTTTGGTAATGCAATTTTGGATAGGAAAAATGACATAAGTAATAATTATCTATTTAAGTGCTTTTGGTAAAATTCGAATAGAAAAATTATTCTTGTCCCAACACTAAACACTTAAAAATCAAAGACGTATTAAAAATATACTCCTTATGTATTTAAATTTAGCCATTAAAATTTTAGCATTCAAACTTTCAATTTTATCAAACAACACATAAATCTAAATTCCCTCATAATTCATGACTTGAGCCCAAATTAACACCCTTATTTACGATACAAGTGTCAGATTCATTAGTGAATTGTTGGGCAGATAGTTTGTGAAAGAAGACATGATGTGCAGCAGTTCGAAATAGATAGCATCAATTGTCGGTCAGAGATCGTTTTAAAAGATACGGTTAAAAGACGCGCGCGCGCGCGCGCACACACTTTAATAATTTACAAAAATCAACTTCTTATACATATAGTATAAATCAGTGAAACACAAGAAATTGTATAAGGGGAAAAACTCCTAATTGCATCTACTCTCTAAGTATTTGCTTCTTCTGTACAAAGCTGTGAAATTTTATCCTCAAAGTTATCTTCAGATGAAAATAAAACTAAAATGAACCAAAAAACCAAAGAAAATAATTTACCTAAATTACATCCCAGTCACATCACATGTACACAATGAAACTATGATTCCTGTGAATTTTCCAATAATGCAAACTTTACATGCAAGCCAATCTTACCACCGTCGGTAACTAGCTTAGCAGCTGTTACCAACCAATGTCCGGGGGTGTCATGTGGGCCTCGCACAACCTCCGCTGTATCCACAAATTTAAGTAACTTTGTTGAGCGAACTGGAACTGGTGGGCCGTCTGGATATACACCGGAGTTCATTGCAGCAGGAAGCTGCTTCGGTCCATCGGTTATTGTCCGCTGAGTGAATGTGAAAGTCGTACTTAGATTTGTCAGGAAGCTTGACTTGCGAGAAGCTTCTGGTGCGGCAGCCCACTCTGTTTTCCTGACGGTAAAGTTGGGTAGGTGGGTATACAGCAGACGAAGGTGAAGAACTGTCTTTGGCCATTTTCCCTTGCTGATGAGCTGTGCACCAGTTACAACGAAAACACCACCACCCAATTCTCCCTGTATCCAGTTTGGGTCATGCTTAACCACCGATGAGCACACATTCGAGTATCTCTTCCATTTGACTGGTTCTAGGAATTGGTCCTTAGCTTCATAATCATCTGAACCTCGCCACTCGCATGGCCTCATCTCAGCGGCGCTAGCAGATGTCATTATATTTGGAAGACTTGAGAGATGCTGTATGTGTATTGCCAACCAGTTGCTTTTCTTCCCTTCTAAGTACAAGCGCAGGCCAATAACCGGTTTTTGAACACTTGAAACCTGAAACAGTCAGAGAGAGGAGAACTTTGAATCAGTTAATACATGCAATTGTATGCTAGAGTTCTACTGCAAGCATTAATTTTATGCTGGAGTTCTACTTACCAAAAATAAATAAATAAATAAAAAGTTCTTCCAGGATGTATTTGTTACAAATGTCAGCTAGACAAAACAACTAGACGGAGTCCATTTCTTACCAAAAACTCCAAATTAAGCCTATGGAATCATTCATATTGTACCAAGACAATCTACAAGGATGCAGGTAAATCCACAGAAACTATAGTTTCAATTGCTCTAGAATTGACAAGAAGCTCAAGGAAAAATAACAAAGGCAAGACTAATCAACTTTTGAAGAAAGAATCATTAGAAGGATAAAACAAATTTTCGGCGGCATATATTAACAAATTCCCAAGGCATCGAGCTTAAATGTTGGTGAAGGTGTCCCCCATTGATTGTTCAAACATGTCTATCATTGTAGTATTGTTCAAAGGGATATTCGAGTAAGCAAAAGGACCTCACTTCTTAATTTTTTATTGGATAGAAAATGTATATTTCAAAAAATGATAAGCCTACACACGGACAGTAATGAAGGTTATAGCGTACTCTCTCTCTCTCTGTTTTCCATCTTTATTTTGAGAGGAAAAAAATTACCATCTCAACAGAGTAAAAGGGAGAGAAATGGGAAACAGAAGTCCTTTGGAAGAAAAGAAAGATGAAAGAATTCCAGGAAATTAAAAGAATATAAAGAAAAAACAAAAAGCCGCTTGAGAAGAGAATAACCAATAAATAAACTAATTTATTGGTGCACTTGTCAACTGTGAAGTCTGCCTTTACATTACCACTCTTAAATCAGAAATCAATTTGTAGAAATATATTGATTATCAAATACCAATGAGCTGAAAATGATGGTTTGATGTTTTTGAAAATCCCAAAACTATCGCATATATATCACAAAAATATCATGATGCATTGATGGATATCGATATTTCATGACTCACTAGTAATCATCCTCATCCTTGCCTTCTATCCCGTATAAACGGGTCGGCTATGTTGATAGTCTTTTTCAACTCTTTTCTACCATAAGTCATTTCCCCTATCAGATTTATTTTTTAAAACAAATATTTCTTATTACTTCACTCCATGTTAATTTTGGTCAATCTCAATCTTCCTTTTTCACCCGCACATCTATTGGTCTGCATTGAATATATTCATACAGCCTAAATTTACTTTCTTATTTTCTCACTGATGGGCATAACTCTTAATTTCTCTCTTATATGCTAATTATTAACCTTATCTCTTCTAGTTACTCCTATCATCCATCTTGGCATTCGCATTTCAGCCACATGAATGCGTTGTTCTTGTTTCTTTTTTAACACATAAAATTTTGCTCCGTACAAGATAACCGATGTAACAACAGTCCTATGGTTGTATGCCTTCTCAATATCCAGCTTGCAAACAAACCCTTGAATCCCACTCCAGATCCTGGACTCCACACACTCACTGAGTCCAAAAATCTGCCACCCACCAACGAAGGCATTCTGAGAAACTGATATCATGCCATCTATCACTCTACTCAACCGTAAGGCAACGATTGTAGCAATAATTTTATGGATACTACCCACCAAGCTAATAGGCCTCAAGTTCTTGGCTTAGCCCTACCCTTTTTAGGGACGAGAACAATGAAGGAAGCATTGATACTCCACTCAAAGTGGTCATGCATGTGGAAAGCATCAAGCAACTCTATCACCTCTTCCTTCGCCTGATGTCCTCCTCCGCAAATTTACCATCGATCTGAAGTCTTTCGATGTGATTACCCCCTTTGGTGAGAATTCACGAATCAATACAAAAACTTTGTATTCCCATCCCCTGCCACAAGCGACAAAGAACTCAACTTTTGCCGACAAGATATCTCCACCATAATGGTAATCTCGCCGATCTCCGCCTTGCATTGCTCTCTTCTATTGCTCTCCACATCATCCAATCCCTAATCTCCTTCCTTATGGTCCAACTCTGATATCTCCATAAAGAATATATTTTTGCACCACTCCAAATTGCCAAACACTGTTCCACTTCTTGACGTCACCTTTCAACATCCGTAAACAACCATTAAATCCAATCAAAATAATTCATGGCTCATTCATCATAAATAGGGCAAAATTGTCATAACAGAATAATACATATCATGTGCGAGGCAAATGGCATAAGTTTTGTTATTTCCATAATGGTACACTAATGGCAAGGGTTAGTAGTTTTGTCATTTTTTTTTTTTTTTGCAAAGATAATGATAGTCAAGTACCATTAATTATAGTTAATTCAGTAATGCAGACAGCCCTTAATCTCTTAAAGAGCAGGAGGTTTAGTGTCAACTCATTCAATGAATGGGGCGTGATTTGTCTAAAGAGAAATGGCCTTATAGTGCCTCTCTCATAACAGAAGGAAAGCAAGCAACAACGAAATGAGCGCTTACCCTATCGACCAAAGCTACTATCCGCAAATCATTAACTCCTAAACTCAAGGACTACAGGAATAGTATTCTCCTGAGCTAGCCTCCCGTTATGCGCCAATGCTTGAATAGGGCTGTTCACCTTTACCAAACCTTGTTTTCTTTTGATCTATTGTGAGTATTTGTTATCTAATATCTCACATCTATTGAACTAACAAACCCACGGTATTGTCATCATCATGTCAAAATGAAAACAATATTCAAAGCTCGACCCATGAGAGTATGGGTACTTTTGGTATGTAAATTTAATTTTAATATCCAAAAAAAGATGAGTACAGTATATACACAATGAAGCTCAAGAAGCACACTCTCAGAGTGCTAATACATCTCTTCCACCTATGAGACAGTAAGTGGTACTAGGACTGATCTTTCCGGAAACTAAGAAGCTGATTCTAATGGCCAAAAGGTGAATTTCGATAAAAGCCAGTGCTTCCTCTCGAACAGAGCTCCTCCCAGAAATTCCACATAATTGAAGAGGAATAAAAAATGGTAGTTTTCCTATCAAGTACCTGGATGTTCCCTTGCCCCTCAAGAGAGTAAAGAGAGAACATTGCCTTCCTCTACTGGAGAAAATGAAAAAAAATAATTTCGGGTTGGAAAAGAAATTTGTTGTCCTCCGGAGATCGACTAACGCTTATTAAAGATGTTCCAGTATTCTGATGCACATGTTAAAAGTTTTATCATAAATTAGCCAGCCTACACTTCGGCTAATAAATAGCCGGCCTACCTTACAACAGCGATGATCCCTTCTCTCCAGTGAGTGCAGTGAAGGACTTTTTTTTTTTTTGGCAATATACCTTATATAGTTTAATTAATAGATATCTTATATTTCTCAATAACTCAAGAACACTGAATTTGGTGTCATGGTCTCAGACAAACACGAGTGTTGGACATTGCAACAACCCAACAGCACATAGCTAACTAAACTTTATATAATCAAAGTGTAATATTGTCTGATGAAAGTCGCAAGATCATGAGGAAGTTATCAACTTCTTGATTTGCTAGAAACTCTTCTCTGCAGCCTTGAAAGCTGCCCTGGATGGTGAGACAGACGACTAATGGAGAGAGGCGCTCCTTCCTGGAGGTGGCAAGGTTGTCTCGCCTTATTGTCTGATGAAAGTCGCAAGATCATGAGGAAGTTAAAAACTTCTTGATTTGCTAGAAACTCTTCTCTGCAGCCTTGAAAGCTGCCCTGGATGGTGAGACAGACGACTAATGGAGAGAGGCGCTCCTTCCTGGAGGTGGCAAGGTTGTCTAACTTGTCTCACCTTTCCCACTTGGGATGTTAAGATCTTATGTTGAGAACAAGGGAATCCCTTCAAGGCCGACGAGGAGTTAGGAAAAGGAGGGAGGGCCATAAGGCTCTCCAATGCTGTCTGCTCGGAAGGTTTGACAGGGAGGTGGGTAACTTGAAAAAACGCACTGGTTGGGCTTCCAAAGTGATTAGAAGATTGAGTTATTGCATGTCGGCCCAATTGGCGAAAAGAAGATGGGTATTTCTAACCTTAGGGGATTGGGTTGAGCCATTCAGGGAATCGGGCTTAGGCATGGCCCAAACTCAATCGCAAACTTATCCATCAGAAGGAACCCAAAGTTAAAATAAAAAAAAGCTGGCTATGGGATGGTTCGACGCATAACATTGGGTCGTCTCATTAGGGCCCTATAATTAACAAGACGGTGAGTGCCCCATGTCCATGCGAATGGGGGAGGGCCATCTAGAGAGTTGGGCTAAGCCAACCTGGCCCAACTTTAAAATCAAATAACAGGAAGATAGGCCCATCCCTTAATAAGTTGGAATGACTCCTAGAAGGAGGTTGGCCTTTGCAATTAGGCCAAGATACGCGGGGGCAACTTATTGGGAAAACAGATTCACACGAAGGTGGGTCACACCAGAGTAGATCAAGCCCAACAGAAGCAAAAATGGCCCATTAATAGCGGCCTAAAAGGCAGGCAGGCAGAGCAGAGCCCAATTCTCTGAATCAAATTAAGGTTAGTGGGGGTATTAAATAGGCCCAATCCAAAGGATTTTCCGTCCTTTTCTCCTTTTCATTCCGGGGGTTGAATGGGCGACGGTGGGGGTACTGGGGGATGTTCCTGGAGGGCAAGAGAAGGGAGATCGCCGATGGTTGTCAAAGGGGGTTCGTGTAGCAAAATAGTGGGGATGATGGAGGAGGTTTGAAATGTGTTGGGTAATGTTCAACACGGTGATTCTCATGTTAATTTGGCCATTTCGGTTGGTGATAATAAGGAAGATAGAGAAGTCACTTTGTGTGTCAAAAAGGGCATCAAACCAAGGAGTGAATCGGCAGCGGTGCTAATGGTGGAGTTGGATATGCACATTGGGTTAGAAAGAATGTGTCAATTGGGGGATCAGACTTGTTCTCGATATGAGGATTCATCAGAGGAAGGATATAGCACTACTACGGAGTGGAGGGTGAGTGAATCTTCTTGCTGAGAGGATGAAATGGGACTGCCATATGACCCGTTTGAGTTTGAGCAGGTTGTAGTAGAGCGGGAGGTAATATAATGGGGTTGTTTCAACCTTCAGCAATGGTGGACCCTAATAGGAAGGAAGATAACAAGATTATTCAGTTGATGGAGGATAGGGAGGAGGGTTGGTTGATGCAGAATATAGGACAGATGAGCAAGAATTTGGGGTTAATTTTTTAAGGGAAGGAGGGTCAAGCCATGGAGTTGGTGCAATCCATAGACATTGTGACGAAGTGAAAGCTATGAATGTTCAGGAACGATAAACAACTGTGAATCCACTAAGTTAAAATAACATTGCAGAGCAATCTGATATATTAATTAAAAGGTTAAATTTTGCTTTTGCAATATATGCATATTTGTAATTATAGAAAACCTAAAACTCTAAGGAAACTAATAGCATATAGAAACCTGATAATAGCGTGGAAGGAAACCCAAGCTTTGTTATTGTTAACAAACTCAAGTTTTTGAAGGAGGATGTAAAGAAGAGGACTCAGGAGGTTTTTGGTAATATTGAATGGCAGAAGAATAGGCTCTTGATGGAGATTGCTAAGTTTGACAAGAGAAAGGGAGGGACCGATTTAGAGGTATAGAAAAGGATAGTAGGGAGGAATGCAAGGCAGAGATTTGGGGGAAAGGGTCTCAAACAACCATTAATGCAACCACCATTTTACCTGTCCATCAAGTGAGATCCTCATGGACAAAGCCAATAGGAACCTTCACGTGAATGCCAATTATTGTAGGAATGGCTTTATCTCACAGACAAATTGAGAACAAAATGAACAAGAAACATCTAACATGAAATACTATTATCCAGCATGATTTATAACCAAACTACTAATCCGCATACATAGAAGTGCTTGTGTGTAGAGAAAGAGAGAGAGAGTGCACACGTACCTTGGTAGAACTAACATGAATCTTTGGACCCATGAAACTGAACTGCAGTGAAGGGCAATAGGCCTTTTTTCTTTGATGCCTAAGAGGTAGCTCACAAAACAAAGGTGCCCATTGTCTAGGAACTTGGAACTCCAAAAAGTATTGCAAATCCTCTACAGAAGGCTTGTCTGACAAGAGAATCATTTGACCAAAAATCTACCACATTTAGTTAAAGTATTATATATAACTAAAACTCAGGGAAAAAAAAAATACAATGATTCTGTAAAAATAAATAAACTAAAATGACTTGGAAACAATCCTGAAAAGAAGCTGAAGATAGTTTTTGACTTGGTGAAATATATCTTACAAATTCAAGGATATCCATATGGAACTCCCACTTAAAGGAAAAAATAAATGGAAAGAAAATGATCCAAGGAGGCTTTTAGAAAGAGAAATATGTTTTGCTTAGCATTTCGCAACACATTCTTGGGAAGATGTCTTTATCATTCTCCACCATTTTGCACAACTCCATCCATGATATTTTGGAATTAAAAACAATTTGCTTTAGCAATCCCGAGTGGTAGTGATGTTATAGTGAAAAAGCTGTCCACGTGATATGGCTTAAAACCGTAAAAATTATGGATTAACCGTATTTCATTGACAGGCATCCAAGCTTTGAAGCACTTACAGCGTAAATACAAGTTGATTGCATGACTAAGATAGCCACTCCCTGATATCCCAGTAAGGAGAGAAGTGATTGGAACAAATTTAAAGAGAATTGCTTCGGGGTTAGCTGCCACAGTCTGGAGCCACTTGGAGTGGCTTTGCGAAAACACATCCCCTCCTCTTTTTGACCAAATAATAGTGAGGCCCTATTACAAATTAGTTCATAGAGTCACAGCTTGCAACTGTTATAGTATTAATTCAGAATGTGTGAAGTATCCTGCAACTTACATCTTTGCTTGATGTTTCTGTTACACTGGTAAATTGCATGGTATGTGATTGCAACATACGATTAAAGACCTCAGGGACCTGTATGAATGGACCACATTATCAGTTTCTTACCTGCCTTACAGTCACAGCAGAAGTCAATTAAAAAAACATTTATTAGAAGTACCTTTTGTTTACCATCTCTTGTCTTCCTCTCTAGCAGAGAAGGGCTCCTTCCATCTGAAAATAGACAATCTCCAAGATCCTCCAAATATCCTTTAAGTTCAGCAGGAGGAATTGATGAGGAAGGTTTCTGCTTAACACAAAGTAAATCTTGACCTCCAACACCCATCCCCACAATTACATGCGTTCCATAAGTCTGGATGAACCTGTCAAAAAATCCAATCAGCATCCATCACCATATTAACAGCAGCACGCATATGAACTCAAATTGGCACACTAACTCCAATAAACCAAGAGAGCCTGTTAGCAATCAGTTGCATTAAACCTGAAATAACTAAAATCATAGCTGCATTTAGTGAGCAAGAGGGAAATTTTAGGAGAGCGAACAAATCATTCAGCTGATTGAATACAACACTTCCTCCCCCTGGCACAGCTTTATTGTTTCTCCCTAGGTTGCAAGGATTTTTCTCAAGAGTGATCATCATGTCAGACATATGATGCTGGTGTATGATATGTCTAGTCGGATATGCACCTAGTAAGAATATCCTATAATTCAAGTCTATCATACAATTTGGATATAAAAACTTACTATGTCCCTTTGTTAGTTATTGCTTCAAAACGAGAAATTGTCCCTGTTGAACACTATATTACATAAAAGCACCATTTCAGCCTAGGAAGTAAAAGAAGATTTAAAAACAATATAAATAATTGTGTCCCTATATCCTTGGGTTTAGGGATTTGATAAAGCCAACATTTAGGCGCATTCTCAAACTCAAAATACTTAACAGAATAAATATATATATCATTCGGAAACTCAAAACACGTACCCAGGTCCATGCAACAAAGGTTCTTATGATACATGCATTATCCAAAAGTAGCGGGAGCTAGCTTGAATCAAATTTTAATATACACATTGCAGAACTGAAAAATGCAACCAATCTCATACCCGATGTGCCCATGACTTGCTTTGCATTTTCCATAGAAAGTAAAGTATTTTTTTTTTCTTTGATCTAACATTAGAAATGATTCTGATTTCAGGTGTTTCGTAAAAATAAAAAATAAAAGTGTCATTTCAGGTGTTTACAATCATTTGTGGGTATAGCAACATTTTGGGGATGAACTTGTCCTTCTAAATACTACACTGGAATCATTACATGTCCATGGGACATTTGAACAAGCCACTATATAGAATGATTGATTTAATTCACAAGTAGCATCTTAACAATTTTGCAATATGCTGAGGTCATTATAATTCTTTTGGAGTCTGGTAAGGTAATACAATTAAGGGAGGGATGGGAGAGCATTAGACAATATGCTCTTGCAGAAAAATAACAAACTACTAAATGCAAGGATCAAAATTTCCGTGAAAACATTTGGCAGAATGTATTGAAATTCTTGGAAAGAGAAAATAAAATATATAAATGAATAAAGAGAAGTCAATTAATTGAATTTGTTTCTGTGTTTTCATTTAAATAACAAGAAGCTAAGGTTTCACCGATAAAGACGGGGGGAAAAAAAGATGCTAAGGTGGAATAACATCAAACAATTCTTTACTATTAAAAGAAGAGCAAAAAAGATTGCAAAACTAATTTTTGTAGTGAAATATGCCATAATAGGCTTATAGAAATTATATACACATAGACTAGACATGCGGCATTAGAAGTAAAATACTTGGTACAAGTAAAAGTCAATTGAAATGCCAGCTTTATTAGCATGCAATTAAGGATCTGATGAGATATTTTCCGAACAGGTTTGGCGGCTACCGAAATTTTACTACTATATTTAGAATTTTTTTTCAGCCTAGAATGATTCAAGAATAACTTGAGAAGGTTGAGAATAAAAAATTGGAGTAATACTTGGATAGAAACTTAAAACAATAAGAAGACTATGCCAATTTCTAAAAACATTATCATGATTGTTGAAATAATATATATATTTGATGTGGAGAAACGGAATTGAGAATATGTGTCGCTGCTTACAAAGCTTTTGATGCTCTGCTGTACCTATATAAGCCATGACAGACAACGCCAGCCTGCCAGTCTATGTTTTCTGGTAAGGCAATCCAAGCAAATGTTTACAATTAAATAATGAGTTTGTTAAATCGATGAAATTTTGTGGGGTCACTTTGGTGGCAGAATTACATTGAAGAAATCCAAAGTTGTCCCCAGGCCAGGTATAGTCCATGTCTCAATAGTTTGAAAGAACATCTAAACTGTAATTAACTAACCATCAGAAGCAACACAATCTGCATGCATCTATCCTTAGCTAATACAATGTAGAAAATGCTTACCACACTTTCATCATTGGCAATGTTTTCAGGGTTAGTTCCATTTATCCGCAGGATCATATATTATGATTTCTCTAGATATCAAATTTTTAATTGAACCCAAGATTGTTCAGAGGCGAAATATATGTTTCAGAACTTTTGAATTTAAGAAATAATAGATGTACCAGAAAAGTAAATTGAAAGGTGGAATTATTTTCCAGCACATGCATCAAGTAAAGAATTCAAAATGCGATCATTATTCTTCAAAGCCAAATACCACCAAAACAAAAGTTTTCTAAGAAGCAAATATACTCTCAAGTCAGGTCAATCCTTTTAAAATTTCCTTCATTTCAAATTAGTTTATGTCACACATGAAATGACATTGAAACCTATTAGTCATCATATCTTTACTGTCTTTGTTCCAAAACAACAAAAATGTTTTTATTTTTTATTTTTTATTAATGCACAGTGATTTTTCCTATTTGTTAGCTTATCTCAAAATGTTAGAGATTAACAGAGGCCTCATTACATATCAAAAATAAATAAATAGAATAAATAGAAACAGAAAATCTACCTAGCTAATGATTCTGGATTCCAGTGAGATGGAACAGAATTCTTTACTTTGTCTTGGAGTACCAGTGGAGATGCCGTTAGGTGCAAATAGTACAGTGAGATGAAGTAACCATCAAAAGCAAGATATCTCGCATCAGCAGCATCATTGAACCAGGATCCACTTAAATCAAAAATAGCATTAAGATAGCCTGAAGGTATTTTTCCTTGTACTGAAGATCTCTGATTAAGTAACTCTGACATCTGCCATAAGAGAATGATATGGAACCAAAAACAAAAAGGACAATAGATCAGCATAAAACTAAAAATGTCATTGTAGAGAGTATAAATGAGTGGACTGAAAAGTAAATGAAGATGACATATATATTCAACCTACAATACTTGTTATATATAAGGTCCAGGAAGAGCTTTGTTGTTTTGGAAATTTTACCAACCACCACCTAAAAGCAAATGTTCCTCAATCTGATAACCCACAAAATATTTTGTTTGTCTGGAAAGCCATGACAAAAATATGCTATATCAGTGATAGCATATGTAGAGAACCGAGAACCGTAAGAAAAATATGCTATCAGGAAAACCTATTCCTTATTCAAGTGATACTGATTTGATACAATGTGATGACGAAACATATGGTCACTCCAGTTGGACATGTCGCATAATACGCAGAACATTTGTTTTGCGGCTCCCATATTCCCAGTCTAAAAGCTCCAATTACATTTCCTTTTAAAATCAGTTTAAACAGCATTTGACCATGAAACAGCTAAGATGATCCATTCATGCTCATATAAATGAGCACAGTCCCTTTAATGGTATTGGCACCCTTACTTTATGTTAGCCGTGTCACATGGCATGCAAGATTTTTGTCCTAGACGAGTAAGTTCCTAGCATATATCATCATCTTTAGGAATCTTCCTAGCAGGCTATTGAAGAACATACAAAACTATATCCAGTTTTTGATATCTACAATAGCTTTTTATCTATCCATTTTAGTCACTATTTGTTTTATGCATTTGAAAATGCTTGTGTAAATTTATATCACAAATTGAGCAGTTGTTTTCTGCCCTTTTTCCAAATATTTTGATTTCCAAACAAATTTTCAACTGGATCACAACATTAATTTATAGTAATGTGTATCATTAACTGAATTTTGACATTCAACATACGCAATCAGACTGGAACAGCTACTATAGCCCTAACTAAAACCACACACACAAAACACAATGCAAAAGCAAATAAAACAACATCAAAAACTTCACCTGATTGAATTCAAGGACATCGGACTTGAACCGAATCCGGTCCCCTTTATCGCACCGAATATCCTCCGGTACATCTCGCACCACACCCCCTCCAGGAATCACAATGTCTCTCTTATTGCCTTCATCAATCACCACCAACCTTCCACCATCCGAACACCCTTTGGCAAACTTCAGCCTGAAATCGCTCGCCAGATCAAACCCTAACCCCAGAGCATCTAACGCTCTGATCTCGATCCTCTTCTTAGGCTCTTCGATTGCTTCAAACATGGTCATCTTCAGATGCCACAAATCGGAGTCGTTCAACAAGCAAGAGAGCTAGAAAACGAAAACGGTGAAGATGAAGAATAGCCCATCTGAGCTGGCTAGGGTCTATGTATTGAGTTAGGTTGGGATGAATATTGAAATTTGATGGCGGTCAAATGCCATAGAAGGGAAGGAGTGCTGGTTTGACCAGAAGTTTCGTCTCATGCTGTGCAATTGATTGATTTTTAGAAAGGCAGTGACGTTAACTTCTTGTTGAAATTCATGCCGGAGAGGAGTGTAGAGAGAGAAAGTGACGTGTAGATAGAGAGAGGGGGTGTAGCGAAGAAATTCAATCAGAATACGCATTTTCTACATTTGCTCCGGACTGACCACAGATGCTCCAACTCACATGCGTTGTTGACTGAAGAACATTTCGGTCAACGTAAGTAACCTACTACTTACCTACTTTGTCCATCCCTCCACCCGAGTTTGAGTTAAATACCTACACTAAATTCACGTCAGTGTTGGCCCTAAACACGCGTGAAAACTGACCAAAATTACCTAAATATAAAAGTTGGATTAGATTTTGTTTTATTAAATTTCCGGGGGTGCGCCGTTTTCAGATAAAAAATGATAGAATTGATGTCACCCGTGACTTTTATATTTTTTCTTTTTCAAAATAGTTGTAATATCTTTATTTAATAATGAGTAAAGGGCTAAACAAGCAAATGAAAAAGAAGTAATTTGGGAATGTGACGAAAAATAGTATATTTATTTTTAGAAAAAGACATATATTTTGAGAAATTTCAAAAAGGAAAAGTGAATAAATATTTTGGGACAAAAAGAATATGAATTACTATGTCACGGAGGAATTTTTACTCAAATTACAGGCAGACATTAGTAAATATAAAATATCAAAAATTCACTACAGAGTTTCTCTATCACACTCTCCGTCTCTCCCACCACCCTCTATATTTCCTCATTGTTTGCCCATCAGATACTGCTCAATGTATTTGCTCAGCCTACACTCTGGAGGTGTCAACAATATCCATCCGCTAGCAACACGCGTTTGCTCACAACCCACTTCTCCGTCTTATGAAATATACTCATATTTATGGCCAAACAAATTCACCTCGATCACATTACACACTATACGTTATTCACAACAAATATCAACTTGAGCGCCACGTCCTAGAGACCATTCAAACTAATTATCTCCCAATTTTATATTTTTCTCATTACGACAGGTAACCAAATTCAAAACCAGTCTCAATTTTTATTGTAAACAGTAACAAATAATACTACCGGTTGACCGCTACTCACATCATATAATTTTAGTTTTTCTAGCACTCACCATAATGAGATTTAAGGTTTTGAAAGGCATGAATTGGGATGCAATGGGAAAGAGAAGGGACAACTATGGAGAAGTTAAAGAGGATAGAGAGAATGAGAGAGAGAAAACGAAGACGGATGAAATATTTGAATCTAGAATCTCAGTAAGTGGATTAATGTTTTCCGACATACAACTGATAGAGGCTTTTTAGTTTTGATTTTAAAGGTGTTCATAGGTCAGAAAACATCAAATATGATTCATAATATATACATGTGTGTGTGTGTGTGTGTGTGTGGGGGGGGGGGGGGGGGGGGGGGTGAAATGCAAAAACCCTTGCTATATAAAAAATCGTGGAAGAAACCCATTCCTTTCTATAAAGTGTATATAGCAATTCTTGTATTTTGAAAATTTGTAGCAAATTGCCCCCTAGTCATCATTTTTTATCACATTTTTAAAGAAAAACTCACAAAATACCTTTAAGGGAATTTTAGCAATTTCCTTCTTTTAATAAATAAATAAGTAAAATAAAATAAATAATAAAATTAAAAATTGGGATTTTTATAAAATTTTTAGAAGATACCTTTATTTTTATTTTTATTTTTTTGTTTATTATATTTTTTAATCATTTATTATTATTACTTTATTTATTTTTATTTTTGCCTTAATGGAATTTTAGGTATTTTAGTCTTCAAATTAAAGAATTGTCTTTATTTTTTTAATTCGAAAGATGTAAGGAATTTTTTGAATACCTATATAACAGAGGTTTTTTTTTTTCACTTTACTCTCTCTCTCTCTATATATATATGGAGAGGGAAAGAAAGAGAGTAAAATGCAAAATTATTTTTGTATTTCCGTTCTCGTTTTGTTTCTACTCTATTTTTAGGATTTTGGAGAATATTAATTGCGATCTTGGGATTTATTGATGTGGAATAGTTGTGTAGATTGTTTTATGATATTCTTTTAATTGATTGATCTTGCTTTCTATTTACTTAGATAAAGAGATACATAGAGTTTCAAAGAGTTAAGATGCGGTCCACTATAATTGACACTTAAGCAGCCAAATAAACTCTCTGTAGAGGGTCGGTTTTTCTTTTGTCAGGCTAAATAACACTACTCTTTAAAATTAGAGTAATAGTAAGAATTGGTTTGATTCACAATTTGTTCAAACAGAATAGAACCATAAGTATTTTTATTTTATTGGTTTCACAATACTTTTACCATGGGTCAGTTGCAAAAAAATCCCTTGATATATAGTGTTTGTGCATAACTAGTCCCTACTTTTTATAAATGTGCATTTCAATTCATAAAATTCAAAAAAGGTGCAAATAAACCCCTCTGACCACTTTTTAATTAAAATTGAAATAAAATAAATTCAAAACCCTATTTTATCTGATTTTTCAAGCCAGTGTGTCCTATGATGATTCGAAACGGATCCGAAATGCGGAAGCGAAAATAGAAATAAGGTCTCTAGGAATATACGACATCCCTAAGATGCCAAGGTGACCTTCCATGAAGTCACGAAACTCAAAAGAATCAAATGTGGAAGTTAAGATTATAAAATGGGAAGGGTACTTGACCAGGGGTAAAATTGTCTTTTAAAACAAAACTAGATGCAACTGAACATATCATTAAATAGACAAGGAAAAATTAATAAATCTAGACTCAATAATCACTTGATTCGGAGTCCGGATGAAGAAAATATGAAATTCCAAAGTTTCAAAAAAATCAACTTTTGGGTTACAAATCTGGACGGTGAATAGTGTTTTGACAGCAAACATCATTTCTGATTTTCCAGAACTGAGGCTAAAAACGGACTCTTAAACGAATTTTTATGGAAAAACACGAAGAAGAAATGCCCCTTAAAATCACGTTTCCTACCTGGCAACGTGAAAGAAAACGAAAAAAACACACTGTAAAATCTCTAAAATGCCTCTAGATCAGCATAGGTCAAGCGGATTAAAAAACAAAAAAAAAAACTGCTACATGCTTTTCTGAAATATGCCAGAATAGAGAGCAAAAACGGGGCCCTTAACGACATTTTCTGGAAAAACACGAAGAAGAAATCCCCCCTAAAATCGAGTTTTCTGCCTGATCACACAGAAGAAAATGAAAAAAACAAAATACACTGTGAAATACCCAGAATGCCCCTAGATCAGAAAAGGGCAAAAATTCAAAAAATGTAATTTTGCACCAAGTATGCATTTGACCCTAAATGCATTTCTAGGTTGAAACGAATGTGCACGCAATCATAATAAATGATTTCAAGCGCAGGAGAATGGTTCGCGGCTCCCGAGAAGACCCGATGCAAAATCCGACCCTCCGACGGCCAAAAAAGGCGGAAAATGCACATGAAAAGGGAATTTTGAAACTTAAAATTATAAAATGGTTTCAAATTACCGTTTGGCCCTTGGCCACACTTCATTCATGATTAATGAGACCCTATGGAAGAATAAAAATAGAATTCCCACACCCGATGCAGACATGATGAAGCAATGACTTGGCATTTTTCAATATTTTCATAATATTTCGTGAAGTTAAAAGTTACATAGGATACAAGATACATGTCATTGGCCTCTGGCCTCATCTCATACATGTCAAATACATCGTAAAAGGTGTACTTATTAACACATTATATATATGGAATCAAAGATACAAATTTTGACATATAAGGCTAAAAAATGACATTTCAGGCTAACATCTGTATGAAATGGCAACTTAAAAACTACAAGTCATCCAAGGAATGATGAACATCAAGAACCAAGTCTTCATACCTGAAACAGGTCTCATTCAGCGAAGGGGTGAGTATCCTGTGGTACTCGTAGGGAATGAGCATGCATAAATGTGATGTTTCCAATTTTCTCCATTTTTTATTTTTCCTGGAATTTTGTTGATGCAAACGGCATCTTCGTCTTTTCACATTTTACGTACGGGACACCGTGGGGTGTGCCGGGTGTGTCGGAGAGTTGTTTGGAGCATTCCATTAAATTCAGGGCTCTTAGAAATGCAAGGTTGGTCATTTTTCCATTTTTCGGACCGGACGGATCCGTGTGGGACCCGCTACCGGTATTGTTGTGTACGAGGATTTTAGTTGGGTTCATTTGCATCTCATATATTTTATTTTTATGTGTTTCATGAGGTATTATTTTATATGGTCGTGTACATATTTATTTGTGTGGTGCATAAGAAAAGTCAAAATTTGAAAAATGTTGGTGGTGGGACCCACCACTCATATGTTTAGTGATCAAAGAGACCACATTTGGTCTCTTATTCTCTCTCTCCCCGCTAGTTTCCTCTCTCCCTCACATTTCTTCATTTTCTCTTTTTCTTCTCAACAAAAACTTCAAGTTTTGATTCCTCCTTCATTACTTAGAATTTTTGGAAGCCGTTTGCGGCAATTTGAAGAGCACGGCGAGATCTTTACTTCCATATAAGCAATTTCAGTTTTAGTGCACTCTAGGGATTCCAGTTTTGGGACCCATTTTGGGGGTTTTGCATCCTCTTTGAGGTTGAGGTTTCTAATACATGCATTCTTGTGCTTATGTGAATTATATTCTCGTTACTTGTTGTTTGATATGCTAGATTGTGTTGATTTTGTTTTAAAATGGCTTAAATGTGTATATGAAACATGTAACTATGTGTATTACTTTATTTGGATGGAAAGCATGTTTAAGTGTTAGTTTTCTATGCTCATTATGTTGTTAACTTGCTAGAAATGTTATGTGAGAGCATGTGAAATTTTCTTGTGTAGTTTAAGTTGAAATTGTTGAAGAATGATGAATACATATGTAAGGTATAACATGTCCATGCATAAGCATTGGGAGGAAAATGGGAATGATTTGTTTGAAATGAAAAAGGAGAATTTTGAGAAGAAGTTTTGATTAAAGTATTTTATGAAAACCCGGTCGCCGCGGAGTCACCAACGGGCCGTGGTGTTAATATTACCTAAAGGGAACTAGGGAAATCACCCTAGCGTGGTTGAGCTAGCTGGGCCCAAATGACGCCGCGGGGGTACCAAGGGTCAGGGACAGTAGTCAATCCTTTTCTCGTGTCGTTGCGGAGTCACTAAAAGACAGGTTATATTAACAGTTTGAAAAGTGA